AGAGAGAGAGAGAGAGAGAGAGAGAGAGAGAGAGAGAGAGAAACTTGTTATATTACCAGATCTCTGATCATTTCAGATAAAAAATATAGACATGCCCTCTCGGTCCAACAGGTGGGGGGCTGTGGGACAAGTGCCAAACTGTCCGCAGTGTCCTGTTCTGGGAAATTCTCCTTCTGCTCTAGAGAGGCAGTGCAGGAATGGGAAGGAATGAGGACTGGAATTAGCTCACCACACCCACCTGTTGTAACTGTCCAGCCTGAGCACTTGTGAAACTCAGTTTATCACCTATAAAACAGGAGCGTTGTCGTGAACTCGTATGAGTAAACATGCATGTGGCACTTTCCAGTATAGCACCTGTCACGCCATTAATTCTTCAGGTTGAATCTCTTTAAACCTCTCTTCCCTGGCTCCTCTGATATGCGCCCAATCTTCTCAGTGCCTCTGCAGCTATGGGGTATGCTAAAAAAAAATGAGAGATGCATTTATTTAACGAGCTTTTATGTGCAAAGCAGTACCCATCAGTAAGTCAGATATTAACTCTGAACTTCCTCGTATGTCCACAGAATGGAAAGAGAAGATACTTAAGCAATAGAGATAGACAGTGGTAGGCACAATTTGAAAATTATGTAACTAAGTTGAAAGCTGATTGACTATTCACTGATACTCAATATATGGTAATTATTTAACAGAAATATTACCAGGCTCCCTGAGTAAATAATGGATCATTCTGTCCCCATGAAAAGGCTTGAAAAGAAGAGGGAGCCAAATAATGAGGCTGTTTTCTAATTTTGTTGTGGACCAGAACCAAAGGTCCCCGGGCTTCTGGCTCACTGCAGGTTTTCTCAGCTGTCCCTAACGAAGCTGCTCTCAACCAGCACCGGTCTCCAAGGGGCCTGTTGTAGTTTGCAGACATTATCTCATTCACCCTTGCTCTGTTCTGTTAAAGTATTACAGGGCAGGTGTTCCCTAGTTCACAGAGGGCACAAGTGCGAAGAGCAGCAAGAGATTTCAGGAGTGTGATCTTGTGATGCTTAATACCTCCCCTTGCTTATCAGACCAGCCTGTCTCGGCGATGTTCTCTGACATAGCAGTTAGGTTTCCATTTTTAAAAAATCTCATCCAAAGGAGAATGTAATGCTGTTTGGAAAATGAAACTGGCAAGCATCATCTTTTTTGTAGAATAAAAAGTCCCAGAATGTCTGACCTTAGAGAGGGAGAGAGGGAGAGGGAGACTGTGTTATTGTGTCTTGGCAAGAATTTTTCACTGGTAGGAAAAAGTTACAGCACAGATAACCTGATGCTTCTTTTGCTAATATCATGCTCAACTTTTCACTTGAAGCATCTTTTCACAAATGTGTAATGGTGTGTAGGAAGAAAAGTTTTAGGAATTTGCCAGAACAAAGATACCACATATTCCCAGTTATTTAGTCAACTAGTTATGCATTTTTCCAATTTAGCTTTTCAGCTTTTGTTCTGAAAATCTTTTTATATGTTAAGTATGTTTAGATGTCCTGCAAACTACATTTTTGTATTGGGACATTTAGATATTAAATCTGTTCACTTGAATGCAAAATCTGCTTCTGGAAAGAAGCACTTCTTTCACGCATTTGTTTTTTGTGTTTTTGTTTTGGTACCAGGGATTGAACTCAGGTCCTTGCACTTGCAAGGCGGGCCACCAAACTGCTGAGCTAAATCCCTGGCCCCTTTCACTCATTTGTTAAGCCCTTGAACTTCTGTACCATACTTTCCCCCATTTTATTTTTAGCCTTCTTTTAAGAAATTCCTGAAGTCATGTTAGTAGTTAACTGCCATGGCCATAGCCATATATATCTAAGTCAATTTATTCCTCCCAATATTAGAAAAATTAATAATGAATTACTTGAGTTAGCAATGAATGTGAAAATTAAGGTAGGCTTTTACCAGACAGTATCACATATGGTCCGTGTTTCCTGGAAAATCTTGAAAGTGTACGGTGAGTTCACTCTCGGTGTTTGGTTTTGTTTTTTTTTCCACTTCCAAGGAATTCCAGTCATTTGAAAGTTTTAAATTATTCAAAGGTGGATTGTTCTTGAGTCCATAAAGGCAAAGCAAGGGTTTCCCTAGAGCAGTGATGGAGAGCCCTTGAGAGCTTTCAGTGGTAGCCGTGTGCTGCGGCCCTCGTGCCATAGATCCTGCCGCCACTGCTCTAGAGCATGCAGCATCTGCAGAAACAGCCTCCAACCAGGTGGGTGTGTAGCTCCATCACACTCCTCCTCGTTCCGTGTATTTCTTTCTGGTGAGCTGTGCTATGACGTGAGAATTTTGATGTCCAGAAAGTGGCCCCAGAGGAGTTGCCAGGTCCCCGAGTAGAGTCCTGTATATATACTGGACTCTCAACCTGGCTTTGCCAGTTGAAGAATTGAGGCCAAGGTCTTCCTTGGATGTGTATAAATGTTTTAGTACAGGTACACCTGACAATGCGTTATTCATTTCCGTGTGTTTTAGTCTAGATCCTGCATCTCATCCAAGTGTTGTACTCAAATGTAGCTGTAACGTGCTTTTCACCACAAAAACAAAATTTCACCTTGGTATTCTGATAGAATGTCTACGACCTACCTGTTTGTTTGTTTTTTCAGATATCGATGAGTGTTTGACTCCAAGTACTTGTCCAGATGAGCAATGTGTGAATTCTCTTGGATCTTACCAGTGCGTCCCCTGCACGGAAGGGTTCCGAGGCTGGAATGGACAGTGCCTTGGTAGGTGCTGCCGCGTCCTTGCCTGAGTGTCTGCTCTTCTGCACGGCCCGTTTTCTGGTAGAGTGGTACAGTGCCAACTCAGCCTTCCTATGAAATGGAGGGGGGAGCGGTTTCCGTTATTCTCAGAATTTAAGTAAATTTTAACTTAAAAGAAGAAAATGGGTTGATAGGAAGGATATGAGATTCGAGGTGGAACAAAATCATTCTGATTGAAACAAACTCAACAGAGAACAAAGGGTTCTGATAACCAAAATCAAGTCAAATAGCAAGCACTATGAGGAAGAGAGAGGTGAAGAGAAAAATGCTTTAAAAAAGAAAAGAGGCCCAAGAAGATAGAAGGATGAGCAAATAGTCCAGGAAATGTGTGCTCAGATTTGCCACAGAAGTAATGTAGCAGTTAGCTCATGAGAAGATAGAGTGACGAGTTTGCCATGCTCCTTTTTCCTGTGTGTGTGTGCCTACCATGTGATTTTTTTTTTCTTAAAACTCCAGCTCTTTTCTAAAACATGCCAGAACTCTGAATATGTGAGTTAAATGGTTCACTCACTGTTTCTTTCCATTTTTCCCCAAATTCTTGAGAACTTCCTGTGTACCCCAGAGCTATACCAAGTTCCGGAATACATCCAGTACACCGAGGCAAAATCAGCTATGAGCCCTCCCTGATGGGCCTTACATTTCATCTCACAAATAAAACAAAATAGCTCAAGTGCTAAGCAGGAAGGAGGGGTCTGTGACAGGAGGAGCCACCCTTAGAAAAGTGGCCAGGGAGTGAGGTGGGAGGGAGAGCCTTTGGGCATGAGGAGCAGCATATGCAAGGGGCTTGTGGAAAGAGGAAGCAGGTCGTGCATGTTTCAGGGGCCAGTGTAGCTCAGAAGAGGAAACAAGGAGGACTTGTTACAGAATGTGGGAGTGGACCATGTGAGGCCCTTGGCATCCAGATAAATATTTTGCTCTTTATTCTAATAAATCTGGGAAGACGTTTCTTATTTTAGAAGGGGTGGGAACAAGTAGGTTGTGGAAACACTCTCAGATTTAAAGCTTAGTTCGCATTCCCAGGCGCAGCATCCACTCAGCCACTCTAGCTGTGCAGGTGGCCCCTGTCTCGGGCCCCCACACACGTCCCAAGAGGTCTGCCATGGAACCGTGAGATGCAGATCTTTGAGGAACAGAAGAAAATATTTTTATTCATTACTTGTTTATCTGAAAAGCATTTCTGTGTGTAACTGGTGCTAGCCAGAAGTGTATTTGATTTTAATTTTCCCATTTGGCATAAATTTCATAGTCGCCCTTCCAAGTTCTCTTTGTGCTCTCGTGTTCACATGCGATCCGTCCACCCGTACACACATACATACATGAAATATACACATACATACATACATGAGATCTTGTATGATCCAAGACTAGTGCCCAAACTTAACATTAAATAACTGTGATTTGCAGTACAGGAGTACACCACAGCTCTAATTTTAGTGGCATATGATTGACCAACTGGCAGGTGATTGCCATTCAATATAAATACTAATTGAGTTCTCTACCGTGTGTACATATATGTGTAGTACATAGGTTTGCATGCATGTGTGTGCATGCCTATTTGAACATTTTGACCCATGTCAGTGATGGAAACACGTAGACCTTTAAGCGCCTCATTTACCTTTGCCAACCAGATGAGTGGAATCACGCAGATATATTAGGTCACTAGGTTGCTCAACTCCACCAAAGTGACACATTCAGTCCCTTGTCCCAAGCCCTAGCTTTTGTTTCTGCCTTGCTGAGGTCTTGTATTTCCTGTTACCAAGAGCAGGCAGTGTACTCTTTCCTTCTGCCTTGGGGAGAATTTGGGGCTCCGTGTAATCCACAGATCACATGTTCTTCCATGATATTATTGCCGTTCCATCCGTTGTTCATGTTGAACTTGCAGTTTATAAATCTCCCGTGAGGGTTTTTGCAGATTACACTGAAGTAGATTTTCCATCTTAATTTTTTATGGTACTAGAGCTTTCCAGTGTTGAAAAGCTGAGTGCGACCAAGAGCAGATATTGCAACGTGTCTTTCTTCTTCTGTTGAGCCAGTGAGTGGATTGAATTTTTCTGTGAAATGCTGACAGTGGTGATGAATTCTCAGCCCTGTCTTCTTGTGCCTGTATGTGTTTTAGTGCCCACGTTTATGCTTGAGAACTTGAAAATGTGTTTCAGAAGGTAGTCTTAAGCCTATCTTGGAGCTGAGCCAAGTGATACGACAGCTTGACGCGCGTTTATTTGCTCGTTTGATAAGCATATGGAGACGTCCAGTGTGTGAGATACTTTTAAAACATGGCTTGAGAGAGAACAAAGAAGGCTTCCCCCGACTGCACACACAGGCTAGCGCTTACAGCTTAACAAGTATGCAAGTAGGACAAGTGGGATGTGAGATGCAGCGAACATCATGAAAGAAATGATAAAACTGCCTGTGGGACATAGATAGGATTTCTAGAGACCATCTGATAGGACAGCCAATGACATGTCATCAACAAGGTGTTCCAAACAGTCACCTGTGACTGTGTTTTGGCTTTTTAATATCCTTTTAGTCCAGGTAACTTAGGAAGTATTGATATTTTTTCATTAGTTTAATGTAAGAACATTAAAGATTTGAAAATTTCTTAAAATCACACCTTTTTGGAGAAAATTCTACATTTGGCACTTATAAATTGTTATCTATAGAAATGAGTCCGTACCTCAGTAAGTGGACCCACAAGTTAAGACTGGTCTGACATGATGAACAACTTGATTTGTGACCAGAATTTTAGTTTTAGCTTAACCAAGTCTTGAATTACAACCCGAATTCTGGCTGCTTGTGCTTCCAGATGGTCTCAGATACAGATTTAACCCTTAAAGAGTTCTGGAAAGAACATTACGGCATCTTTTCCTGTGTGGGGTTAAGAAATCCTGGGCCATTACCTTTCTAAGGGCACTGAGATCTGCCTGTGTACAGGAGAGAGACTTCGATGGCTTTGTAGAGGAGCCTGAGCCTTCAGTTGACCAACCTGAGTTACAGCCAGCCCTCAGAAACAAATTGAGTTCCTAAGGAAAGGGTCCACTGTATCCTTTTTCTAGGACTTTCTCACTGGCCGTGTATTTTTACATTGTTTAGGTCAGACAGTGTTTTACATAATATCACATAAGCTTGTCATGCTGCTTATGTTTTTTTCTTTAAACTTGCCTGTGTTCACGTCGATTGACTTTTACTGTTTTCTCTTAAAAGGCTTTATTAAGAATTGTTATTTCGGGGCTGGGGATTTAGCTCAGAGGTTCGGTTCAATCCCCGATACCAAAAAAAAAAAA